GGTGGTTTGCCATTGCCTGCCTCCGTGTCATGACCCTGGTCTTCCTTGACGGTCTTCCATCCAATACTAGCCAGGGGCCAACCCTGCTTAGCTTCCCAGATCTGTTGGGATCTGGCTAGCCTGGGCTGCAAGAGGGGGTTACGATCTTGAAATGCAACACACAGGGACAGAGCGGAAGTGGGAGGGGAATCGGCATACGGAAGACTGTGTGCTTTGTCCGGTTGGCTTTGTCGCTGGAGGGCACTGAGAACTTGGGGGCTGTGCAAAAAGGTCAATGGGAACAGTGGGGTTTTGTTGTGGAATTTGAAGTGGGAGGGAAGAGAGAGAATGAGACAGCGTCATATAAATGCACGTTTTTAACAATCTTGCCCGAGTAGCCACCGTTCTGATTTTGCCTCTGGGTGGAGTGGGGTCAGGGGAAGAGTGTTTTCTAGAAGTATATGGCCTTGAACTCCTTAGAAGAACAGTGTGGGTTTAAAAAACGTAAGGTAATTTAATTAGATAAAAGGAGACGGTCTCTGAAGAAGCGTGGGACATAAGCAGTGATCGATTTAAAAGCCAGATATTTCCCCCCCATCCATGAAATGTGCCTATCTTGCCCCAGGCCATGGCCCCAAACACCCCCACTTTTACTCTGCTTCTTAGGGAGGGGCCCCCTCCCAGGGTTAATGTTTTGGGATACCTCAGGTAGTGAGAAAGTCACATTCTGAGAACGGAGTGGTGTAGTGCTAGAGTGACAGACTATAATCCGGAAAACCAGGTTTGATTCCCCACTCCTCCTGAAGAAGAAGAAGAAGAAGAGATTGGATTTATACCCCGCCCTTCACTACCCAAAGGTGTCTCAGAGTGTCTTACAAACTCCTTTGCCAGTTTGGTGTAGTAGTTAAGTGCGCGGACTCTAATCTGGGAGAACTGGGTTTGATTCCCCACTCCTCCACTTGCACCTGGCTGGATGACCTTGGGCAAGCCGTCGTTCTGATAAGAGCTGTCCTTGAAAAAGAGCAGTTTCTGTCAAGAGTTCTCTCAGCCCCCCCACCTCACAGGGTGTCTGTTGTGGGGAGGGGAAGGGAAAGGAGTTTGTAAGCTGCTCTGAGACTCCTTTGGGTAGTGAAGGGCGGGGTATAAATCCAATCTCTTCTCTTCTTCTTTCGCTTCCCCTCCCCACAACAGACACCCTGTGAGGTAGGTGGGGTTGAGAGAGCTCTGACAGAAACTGCTCTTTTTCAAGAACAGCTCTTGTCAGAACTAAGGCTTGCCCAAGGTCATCCAGCCAGGTGCAAGTGGAGGAGTGGGGAATCAAACCCGGTTCTCCCAGATTAGAGTCTGCGCACTTAACCACTGCACCAAACTGGCTCCTGCACGCGAACCCTGCTGGGCGACCTTGGGCCAGTCACAGTTCTCTCAGAGCTGTTCTCGAAAGAGCAGTTCTCGAAAGAGCTCTCTCAGCCCCACCTACTTCACAGGGTGTCTGTTGTGGGGAGAGGAAGATTGTAAGCTGCTCTGAAACTGCTTTGGGTAGAGAAAAGCGGGGTAGAAAAACCAACACTTCTTCTGCTCTTGGAAACCTGTCTATGCATCCTGCCCACGATGGGGTTTATACATGAAGTCAACGTCAGTACTGCATACTCAGACTGGCAGCAGCTCTCCAGGGTCCCAGGCGGAGGTCTTTCTCATCACCTGTTACCTGGTCCTTTTAACCGGAGGTGCTGTTGACTGAACCTGGGACCTTCTGCACACCACACAAATGCTTTACCACTGGGCCGCAGCATGGTCCTTGTGCGGAAAGTGCAAGGCGAATGCAGCCCAGGTTGTTGTTTCGTTATTTATTCAGAGGATTTATGGTCTTTGAGAGCGTGGAGAGTGTTCTTCAATTCCGCAGGGCCTCTTAGATGAAGCTGTTCCTCCAGGCCTTTGGCTGAGAAAGCGGACGTCTCTGTATGGCCTCCCTGATGTGGCTGTCACCTATCCACCTATCCATCTGTTAACCCAAATAATACGCTAAAGAACCGTACAGCCAGTGACTGTCAGAAGTGTGATTGAGTTTTAATGTTCATTATTGTTTAAATTACTAACTTGTTTAATTTTAATCATATTGTGCTGTTTTTATGATGTTACCCGCCCTGAGCCCGCTTGCGGAATGGGTGGGCTATAAATACAGATAATAAATGAATTGAGAAATAGCATGCATGCCCTGCGTGGAAAAAGTCTCCTCTTCTGGGCTTTTTAGCCCAGAATGGAGGTGTGGTCTGCTCTGAAAGTGTTGATTGGTCTCGTACTGGGACCCAGAGGCCCAGTGGCACCAGATCTAGTGGGAGTGCTTTGGCTTCTGCGCTTGCACTCTGTACAACGTCTGTGCAGGCATCCCGTGATCAAAACAGATGCACACCTTGTATGCTGTGCCGATGCCCTCTAAGGGAAGATCTAGCTGGCTTGTTCCATCTGCCCACATCTAATGGAGCTTCCTGGAGAGAGACTGTGGGTCAGAGTCGTGGTCTCCATCCTGCTTCCTTGACAGCGGCAGAATGCTCACTTCCTTTTTTTGGCTGTTATTTTCCCAAAGGGGTGTTTGTGCACTGAGGCCGAATGCTTTCAGAGGATTCGCTGGAAGTGCTGGGAAAAACCCCCACAGGATGTGGCGTTGTGCACATAGGACCAAACTTCCTGAGGATCTCTGCTTTTATTTAAAAATGGGGGGGGGGGGGAGAAAGGGGAAGTTTCCAGGTCTTATGGGTGTTTTCGTAAGCTAAGAATTATGTGGATGATTTCTGGTGAAATTGCAGAAGAGGAGGACAGAATAGAATTCACAGTGCTCCCTCTAAGCTGTGGAGTCTTGTGAGCAAAAATTCTACTTTGTGAGCTACTGGCATTAAAGGTGTGACCGAGCGATTTGGCTGCTGCATTAATTAGTTTGCTCTGGAGCCATCCCTCTTGAGCTAAGACAAAAAGGTGCGAGTCGGAGGCTAAAAAACTGTGAGCTAGCTCACACTAACTCAGCTTAGAGGAAACACTGGTTGGATGTAATGCATCAGAGCATATAATACCAGCCTACTGTACAGTGTTGCTGTTGTAAGGATTTCCATATTATAATATGGGAAGCGCTTTGTAATATATAAATACTTATGACGATAAGAGTTGCCCTGCTTGATCACGCTATTGAACCATCTAGTCCAGCCTCTAATTCTCACTTCTTGCAGTTGTATAGAAGTAGCCAAACACATGGTAGAAACGCATGGTTTGTAGCCCTGTATTATAATGTAGAAAAATACGCACATGTACTTTTTGTACTTGGGGTGGATATGTTCCCTTCTGTCGCTATTTGCCAGCAACAGGCTCTGTTTTTCTGGTCTCTTTCTGGTCTCCGTCCCCGGTAAATCGCCGTCCTTGTCTTTGCCTTTGGGGGACGTCTTATTAAGACTTTGTTAATGTTAAGTTGTTAGCGTTGTCATTCTTCAGGGTTTACTTCCCTCCCAAGGGATGCTCGAAGCCAAATCTCCGAGACAGATGGATGCATCTTGTCTCTGTAGCGCACATTTGTGCCAACGCATGCGTGTGCACGCGCTGCAGCGCCCAGACTGCTATTTCACACGCTGCAGCTGCTGAGAAGTATTTCCAACATATTTGTAGTGCGTGTGGGCTGTCAAAAATGTACCTCGGACCCAAAGAAGCAGACAACAGCGGCCTCCTGACTCAGAGGAGAGTTTTATTACAAAGTCATTTGTATAGAGTAAGTGCAGCTATTAGTATAAGGGTGTGGGAGGGGGTGAAAAGTCTTGGGCAGTCTCAGAAGTACATCCCTACTTCCTTTGTGCAACGGCGGAGGGCAGAGTTGCCAACCTCCAGGTGGGACCTGGAGATCTCCCGAAATTGCAACGCACCTCCAGACTACAGATCAGCCCCCCCTGCAGAAAAAAATTGCAGCTCTGGAGGGTTGCCTCGATGGCATGAGGTTCACTGATATCCCTTCCCTCCCCAAATGACCCCCTCCCCAGGCTCTACCCCCAGATCTCCAGGAATTTCCCAACCCAGAGTTGGCAACCTAAGTAGGTGTGTGTATTTGTCTTGGGAAAAGTGGGGAGATATGCGATAGTGGGGAGAAGAATTCACCTTTCTGAGAATCTCTGCTATCACTTGAAACCCAACTCAAGTTTCTAGCCCTTAGAGCTGTAGCCATGCGCTCCAGAGTGTCTGGGGAAGGCCTGTTTGCAGTCTGTGGACACCCCCCCCTCCTGAATAAGGTTTTCAGGAGTTGCAGACCGGGTAATTTCCTTGCCCTTCCCCATGTTCGGATCAATACTGGGAAGTCAAGTTAAAAAGTTTCGAACTAAGTTACACCAAAATACAAGAGACCCATTTGCACGATTTTACACAACCTGTGGAATCCCAGTGTTTTTGTGGTGTGGAAAGGCAGTGCCCGAAGCCCGGGGTTTGTGCGTCAGAGTACAGAGTGCTCAGCAAGACTCAGCCCTAAGGGGACCCACGCCAAAGGATTTTCCAGTCTGAAATGTCAAGATCACTTTGGTGTCTGTCCTGCCAGAGCAGAGGGGGTGGCCGGATTCCTTGCCCCCCCTTGTCCGTACACACCCTCCCACCTCTCTTTCCAGCAATGGCCACGGCTTCTTTTGACCACAAAGGAAGTGAACCCATGCGGCTGGCTGGCTCCTCGGGCAGCTGCTTCTAAGCGCACCCCCCCCCGGCACCCCGGCACCCCCCCCCCCCTGCTGCCACCGCACACGCTCAACACCCCCCTCCCCTGCCCGGTGAGTTTTGCATCTGTTCCTGCCCTTTAACCAGGCCGACGGTTTCTGCTTGTCATCCCGGGATAGTGTTTGGGCAAAAGAACGGATCGGATCGGCTGGACGGTGAACAGGGATATATATTTGTGGAGGGGAGGGGGAGTGTAGGGGGGGAGCAAGGCTGTCGTGATCCTCAGGGGCCGTCACTGCCCGTGACATTTTAGGGACATTTGTTCAGGCGGTGGCTCGGAGAGGAAACGGGGGGGGGAGGCGCGGGGAGGGGGCACAGAAGCCTTTCTCCTCTCCCTCCTGCCTTCTCGCACTCCCAGTTTCCTTTCTGACATCCAGGGCCGTGTGTGTGTATACGTGGAAAAGGACGCAGCCATCCTGTCTCCCGTAAGTACAGTTTCACTCTTTAGTTTCCCTCTTTCCACCGGAGAGTTAAAATTAGCAACTCTTCATCTTTTTTTTTCCTTTCCTCCCCCTTCTAAAGGACAGGCGTTGCTTGAACGTAACCCAACAACTGCAGAGGGCTTGTTTCTTTTTAAAGAAACGGATGGTGTTATGGCTTTTTGGAACCGGTACCCAAACGGCCCAGCCCCAGCTCCCCAGATTAGATCGCAGAGGGGGAAAAACCTTGGAATGCAACCAGGGACTTCAGGCTGCCATTGGCCGCGCTCTCTTTATTGTACTGTTTTCCTGTTGGTATTAATACTCATTCCGTTTTTTTGGAATCCCCAAAATAGATTCTGGAGGCGTGTTGGTGGGGGTAGGGCTTGTTTTCCTGCTCGTACTATTCTGAGACGGTTGTTAGATCAGGGGAAACTCCTTGAGGAAAGATTTCTGAGAATTTTGTAAACTTTTGGGACCGCCTCTCGGTTCTAATCCCTGACCTGGATCTTGTCTTGCTAGAACCAGACCAGTTGTCTGTCTCGTCTGTTGCCCTGTTTCTAGCGGCGGCTTCTGGAAAGTCCTCAGACAAAAACAATTAACAATTCCCCCTATATATTTTCCACTTGGTATCTGCCATTCTAAGGTTTACTGTCTCTAAACTCAGAGGCTCCATTTATCCACCGTCGTTGATAGACCCCCCCCTCCCTTTTCATGATTTTGTGTCCCCTTAAATGCCATCCGAACTTGTGGCCATCGCTTGTTGCTGTGGCAACGAATTCCATATGTTACTTGAGCACTGTATGAAGAAGTACTTTTATCTGTCCTAAATCTATTCTCTTGCAAAACCAGCCCAAACGTCTTGTGCACCTTCAAAGACTAAGACATTTATTGTGGCATAAACTTTTATTGGACTGATATCTTTTTGTTAGACTGATCTCTTTTTGTTGGGTGTTGGGTGTATGTGCTGCATTACACTTTGCCGTGCTGTAGTGGTTAGACTACACTGATGCTGGGAAAGATTGAAGGTCAAAGAAGACGGGGACGGGCAAAGGATGAGATGGTTAGACTGTGTCATAGATGCAACAAACATGAAATTGAGCAAACTTCAGAGGACGGTGGAAGACAGGAAGGCCTGGCGTGATCTGGTCCATGGGATCGTGAAGAGTCGGACTCGACTGTGCGACTGAGCGACAACAAAAAGTGGTTAGACAATCAGACTAGGATCTGGGAGGCCCGGGTTTGAATCCCCGCTCTGTGGGTGATCTTGGGCCAGTCACTCCCTTTCAGCCTAATCTGCCCCACAGGGTGGTTGTTGTGCTTGGCATGGAGGAGGGGAGATGAAGTTGTGAAGTGCTTTGGGTCTCCATTGAGGAGAAAAAGCAGGTTTTAAATATCTAAAGAAATACATAGTCCTTCCAGAGTAAATGAGTACAGGATGCAGAAGGCAGAGGAGAGCCAAGGAGATTGTGTAGACTGTGTGTGTGAAGTTTTTAGAGCAGTGATCTCATTGGCATGAGAACAGTGGTGTTGGTGGTGCTGGTGGAGGAAAGTGTCTTCAAGTCACAGCTGACATATAGCAACCCCCACAGGGTTTTCAAGGCAAGAGACATTCAGAGGTGGTTTGCCATTGCCTGCCTCTGCATAGCAACGCTGGGGGATGTCTTGGTGGTCTCCCATCCAAATAGTAACCAGGGCCGACTCTGCTTAGCTTCCAAGATCTGACGAGATCGTGCTAGCCTAGTGAGGTGTTCTGAACGTGTTATGTTTTAAATAGTTTTTTCAAAGTATAAACCGACAGAAGTTGGCTTTAAATACTTTCTGCGTTTGTAAGGAGGAAACAAGAGCTTGTAAATCCACATGCATGGATGCTTGCCATTTGCTAATCTATGCGTCTTTAATAGGCGAGCTGTAACCCCGGATCTGGGTTCTGTCCTGATGGAGGCCCAGTCGTGTGGCTGGTGCCGTGGTCTTCATGAAAGCGTCTCAACAGTGCAGTACTAAGCAGAGTTAACACTCTGAAGTCAGCAGGCTTAGAAAGGTGTAATTCTGTTGGAGGGCCTGTAAAATGTTGATGAAAGGTAGTTCTCAGATGGCAGAAGACCCCTGCCTACTGGAGCCAAAGTAGCCTACCCTCTGAGTAACCCCCCCTTTGATTTTGCTCCATCGTTTTGCTTCGCTGCCGCAAAAACAACTCAAGACTTTCTGTGCTAGCAAGCAGGAAGTAAACCTTCACTGTGGCCCACCTTGTTATTTACAAGTTCTTTAATGAAGCTGCGTACCAGGATTCCTTTGCGGTCATCTTCCTCTTGGCACTTTCTTCTTCTTCTTCTTCTTCTTCTTCTTCTTCTTCTTCTTCTTCTTCTTCTTCTTCTTCTTCTTCTTCTTCTTCTTCTTCTTCTTCTT